TAATCTGCAAAACAGAACAAAGATGAATCCCCTTGGTCTTTGAAATGTTCAGTCTAATGAAATATGCATGCTATGTCATGATGCATGATGTCATGATAAAACACACCACAGGTATCACAGATAGCAAACATGGTAAGGGAAAACAAGTCACACAATAGCCCTTAAGTTTAGGCTTGCATGGAGTCTAGGTACTACCCTCTTACAATTTAGTTAGTTCAACCTGTCCTAATAATAGTAACTGGGTTCTAGAGGTTCTCAATATCACTGACCATCCTCCATCGGTCATAGTTTCAGCTCACACATTCTTTTCTTGCGGCCGGAACCATCTCGAGAGTATGGTCTCAATGAGTGTAGCATCTTGCTACTTCCTATGGCCAAGTTGGTCAATTATAGGTTCTAAGGTCAGTTGATGCTTAATGACCCATATAGCAGCCCCATACTCTCCTTGTTCCTTCACAAGGGATATCGGTACTAACTAATGTGCCACATCAACATAGCTATTGCTTCAACCGTATCGGTCTACACCGTATAGTTCCCTCACAGTTTATTGCTACTTACCTAAAAGGTGTCCCCCGGATCCGGGTTAGGATCTATAGTAACTCCGATACAAAGCCCACAAAAATAAAGCAATCAAATCAAACAATAGAAAACAAAATGATGAACTAATCCTAAGGTACACCCCACTTATTAACTCCCCAGCAGAGTCAACAGTTTTGTGATACGGTGGCCAAAACTAGGACTGTTTTTAGGAATGCTGGTTTGCGTTTTACGTTTGTGTTCGCAAAATGTCGCGGTAAGCAAGAGTCGCCACTGTCTTTTATTTTATCCAACAAGGAAAGGAAAAAAGCACAGAAAAATTCCTTTTTTGAGATATTTCTGAGTACGTGGGGTAGATTATAGAAAGGGAAGGTATTAGCACCCTTTCCATCCATGGTTTTCCATGGGCTCTTAGGTACTTACTCATCATTTTCAAAATTGCTTCTTTGTGTGCTTGTGTGTTTTGAAAAGTTTTTGTTTTGACTTCGATTTAACTCTTGCTTCTGTCTTTAAGAGTGTAATGAAGTGTTTTTGAAAAATTTGTTTGTAAAGGAGTGTAAGTGTGAAAAATTTTGTTTGGATTGAGCAAGTACTTAAGAACTAATCTACCTACTCGAAAAAAGAATCATTCTATGTTCGTTTCCTTTAGACAGCGCTATCCCACTATTAGTGAGTAGGTAGCACCGTCGTTGGAGTTTGAGGGTCAATTCGAAAGGGACGTACGGTCACTAAAGCAATGTTAGGACGTCTTAGTAATAACCCTGATGTCTTAGATAAATTATCCGAGGCAACCATTCTGAGGCAACTTTGATCTTTGAGACAGAAGGACGATCGCTAAAATACCCTATACTCAATGACCGTTTACCGAAGGCAACCGAAGTGGGAGTGTACCCTAGGATTGCGCATGTGCGAGTGATTCAATTTCAGATTATTATCTTTGCACATTTTAGGGTTATCTAACCGTTTTAAAGTTAATCATACATTATTGTCATGCATCCTAATATCATACATCTAACAGTTTAATATTTTGCGGAATTTAAAGTGCGGAAATTAAACTACGCTATTAAAAGGCTTCGGGTATTTACATAGCCAAAAACAAACCCTTAAATAATAAAGCGATAAATGAAAGATAAAAGTCCTAATTAACTATTACAACTTGTGAGCAGTTACAATAATAGGGCAAAAATAAAACAATAAAGCGCGCGCGAGGAAATTTAGATCGGGAGAGAACTAGGGTTTTGACCCTTCTAACCTAATCAAAAGAAAAATAAAGTTTTTTGATTGTTTTTTAATTATTTTTAAGAAAAGAATTATGTTTTAAATTTAAATATACAATTAATGAGCTAATTAAATTAATTAAAGAAAATAAATAAATGGCCTATTTTTTTATGTTTTTTGTTATTTTTAGGAAAAGAAAATAAAATTAAGTTAGAAATAAAACCCTAAATGTTCTAATTAATTTTAATTTATTTATAAAAAGAATTAAAGTTATCTAAAATTAACAACCTAATTAATTTAATTAAATTTTTTGATAAAAAATAAAATCTAAAACCTAATTGGTGAAAAAACAATATTTTTGTGATTTTTTGATTGGTTAAAAAATAAATAAATTTGTTAGTAAAACAAATAAATAAATTAAATAAAACAAAATATAAAAGAAAAAAGAAAAAGAAACTTGGGCCTGAAAAGTGATTGATGAGGTGTAGATAGCAAGCTCTTGGCCCAAAAGACTTAATCCATCGTTGACTTGTTGAATTCAGTGTGTTGCGTTGACTAGGCCCCATGGTGGTCTCTCATATGCTAGCCTTCAGATCTAGCTTCCAGGAGGTCCAATGGCTGGATGATAAGGATGTATGGTGGTCCCTGGTATTGTATGCGTGCTGGATCACTGAAAGAAAAATATTATGAAGAAATTGGGGGACCTGGGATTCAAACCCAGGCCCTGATGCACTATCCAACCACCTGGTTAACCAACTGAGCCAGCTGTTCTATTTGTTCATATAATACAAAACATTAATCAAATATGAAAAATGCCAAACACATTAATTCAGCGCGCGTTTTTTTGAATAGGCCAATGGTTGCTTGCCAGCTAGTCATCTTCCTCCTTGCACCGTTGGTAAAAGTCCCAGACTTTTACCTACAGCGCCATGTCCGTTGCTATAAGTCCTGCAATTCTCAAAATCTAATACAAATATGATAAATAAAAACCAAAGCCATGGATAGCTTCGTCTGGTCCTGCTGAGTACAGTGGTGGCCCTTTCATGGCCCAATTTTGCCTGTAAACGAAGATCCCAAATCGAAGCAAGAAACCCTAATAATGGTGAAATCCAATATAGGCCATGAAAACACAATTGAATATTACAAAAAGCTTGCAAATATGATGGTGAACAATAATATACAATTATTTTATGCTACAAGTATAAGAATAATGCTGTTCGATTTCAAAAAAGAAGCAATGTCGTGGATGACTTACAGCGCGTTTTGGTACTAGAAAAGGCTTGTTCTTGATTGATTTCGCTCGTTTACACTCCCAGGAATCGATTGGGATAGCTAGAAGGCCTTGAGGATGCCTGGAATTATGAATTCGTGTTTGCACTTTTTCTTGTTTTTTTCAAGTTTGGTTCTGTTTCATACGCCTCTCTCTAGCCTTGTTTTAGGTCTGCATATCTTCTATATGTATTGAGGAATGAATTAGGGTTGAAAGAATATGCTTAATCTTCCTCCATCATTGCCTTTAATTTTGATTTGATACACTTGAATATCTTTCCAAAAATAGTCCAAATCCAATCTTTTTGTGCACTCCATGCCTTTACACGAATTTGATCTCATGCTAGCTGGAATTTAAGACCTGAAACATGTAAAAATCTTGAGTTTTCAATATTTTGGATTTTCTATGATTTGTTTTGATTTAAATTGATTTAATTCAAATAAAAATCAAAATAAATAATAAAAAAAAGATAATGACAAGTGGCAAGGGCTAGGGCTCGTGGACCATGTTGCCAACTTAAAACAAGTGAAAAAGATTGGGCCTATTTGGCAAAAATTGAAGTTTTGAGCATAGTTGACTTTTGACAATTTCGCAAAAAAGGTCAACTTCACCAATGCATAACTTCCTCAATTTTAACTCTTTGGAGGTGTTCTTGGACTTTTTAGAAAGCTTGAGATGTCCTCTAAGCAACCGATTTGGTCTCATCTGAATTTGATATTCCATACTAATGTATGAAGCTTTGACAAAAAAGGTGTTTTTGTTGACATTTCAAAATGACCTATAATGTCCAAATTCATAACTTCTTGTGAGTGCATATTTTGAACTTGGGAGATGAAGATGGATTGTAGAGCATGGCATCCTATTCAAAATGAGCTTTGTATTGGTCATTTATCATAAAGTATGAGAAAGTTATGCTTGGTCAAAGTTGAGTTGACTTTTCCTACAAAACCCTAATTTAGCAACTTTTGGTTCTTGATGAATTATGAGCAATACTTGATGAATCATGATCAAACCTTGATAAAATTATGAAATATGCTTCAAAATGAGGATGTTGACCAAAAATCTTGAAGTTTGACTGTATGTGGGCCACAATTGACTTTTGCCCTAGCACAGTCGATTTTCAGGCCTTTGAGCAATTGACTGAGCAAACTTTCTCTGCAAGGCTTGAAATTTGACATGGATGATCTTGAGAACATATTAGGACTATGGTGAGAATTTGGGATCCCTTGGAATCAATTATCTTGATGCAACATGAAACCCTAATTTGAGGTAGACTGCCTTAGGAGGGAGCTTGTCTGGTCAACCCTTGGGCTACCTTGAGCAACTTGAGAATTTTTCTTGAAATGTTTTGATAAATATGGGAGGGCAAATTTTGGGGTACAACAATAAGAATTTGGGCGCTAGGCCCATGCAGTAATGTCCACAATGTTGTTTTTTGTTAGCAAAACAATAGACTATTAACAACAAAAAATAGTGAATGGGCTTAGAGGGATTCTGGTCAGCCCACAATCAAATTTTATTCTCCAAAAGAACTAACAGACCAGGAAGGAGTTTGATATGGTCCAACAAACTATTTTTTGCATTTTGGATCTCAGGCTATCAAAACAAAAGATATTATATGGGCTTAAATTGAAATCCACATATCCAATTTTTGTGTGTTTCAGATAAAAAAATCAGATAATAGATAAAAAAAATTGAAAATAATAAAATAAATATAAAAATTGAAAAAGATTAGGGTTGGGCTTTGGGGTTGACGGTTCATCTTCCTCTTGAACATAATTTCACTTCACCCTCATCTCCCTCAAACGCGAACGATGAACCTGCCAGAATCTGATCCACCTTCTTCCTCAAACGCCAGTGTCGCGACACTTTTACCTCCTCCAATCAAACTCTTCCGTTCTCTATTGCGGTGCTCACCCTTATCATCGATTCGTTCATACACAGCCAGAGTCCCGTCCGACACACCTTCACTGAAATGGCGGTCAACAAGAAGACCAAAGAAACAATCCCTAGAGATTTAAGTATGTTGTTTGACATCTGGACGATCGCATCTTCCTCGGTTTCCGCTTCCTCTTCAGCAAAACCAAATCAGAACCTAAATGCAAAATATGGACTTCGCCGTGTACGAATTTGCGGCGATTTTGAATCTACATGCTTCAGGCTATACAGAGACATGAGGAGATCAGAGATTGAATGAATTTACAAGCTTACCTTCCGGAGAGATTCTGGTGATTGAAAGAATTTTGCTGAGAAATCCAGAGATCTTCAAGTCTTTGTTCAGGTATTCGTCAATCTTGAATTCTCATCCATAATCATTTCCTTCTTATTCTTCTGCGCACTTGTACTCAATGCAAATTATGGTTTTCTATCGTTGCTCGTGATGAAGATGATATAAATATATGTTGCAGATGAAGGTGGTGACATTGATTCTGTAAGCGATGAAGGTTTGAGATCAAAATTGATGAAAATCGTGATTTGAAGCGGAGAAAGGTGATTTGTAGTGACGGCGCACAGTTGTGATACAAGATTGAAGAGTGAATGTTACTTTGAGGTTGAATTACTGTAGTGGTTTCTTTGCATTAATGATGTAGGTTATCGAGTAGAATATGCGTTGAAGGTGATGGAAAATGGAGCTTGAATGCAGAGAGAGTTGAGAGTGAAGGTCGAAGATGAAGATTGCGTGAATTTTTCAGAGAGAAAGATTGGAAAATTTTCAGTTTTTTTGGTGATTCCTCCAGGAAAAATGAAGAATCCTGAGATGAAGATGAGAGGAGAACTCTAAGAGAGTGAAGAGAGAATGAAGATTGGTGAGGAGAAGGATCCAGATCCTAGCCCTTTCCTGATGAGTTTTTTTTGTTATGTAATTCTGTTAGAATCTTCTCTTGTCTGGAAGTTTTTTGTTTCTGTTTTGAAGTTAGGAAGTTAGTTACAGTTGGTTTTGAATCAGTTAGAAGTTAGTTGGAGGTAGGTTAGGAGTTTGAGGGGTTAGTTACATTCTGTTTTTCTATTTTTGTTTTCTATTATTTTGGAAAATAGTTAGTTAGGAAACTGTTAGATGAATAAAAATCACTTAGGGGTTAGAATTCTGTCAGAAAATTGGTTAGCTGCTTAGCTGGAATTTTTGTTAGAACTCTGTTTTGATTTTCCACGTTTTCTTCATCTATTTTCCCTGATATTTTCCTTTGTATTTTCTGATCATTCCCACTGTTTTATTGAGTGGGATTATTACTTCTGATTTATGATTTTTCTTCTTATTTTGTTGCAACCTTTCCTCTTCATACTTATTGGTGAGAAGATAAAAAAACACAACAAGAACTGGTTTTGGAACCATTTCCCAAAGCTCTTCATCCAATCCATAAATGTCATCGCACCTAGCTTGATCCTCCGGAAGAACAAGACCAGAAAGGCATTGGTTCATGATATCAGGTTTAGCTTCAAGAGAAAACCATCTTTTTAAAGAAGCAGTAGCCATTATTTCTGTTTATTCTATTTCTAATTTACAATTTCCTTTCTCATTTCAGTTCCATCTGAACTTTGGATTATTTTATGGAATAGGCCTTGGTGTTGGTAGCTAGCTTGGTTTGAACTGGATGTAGTAATGGTTTTCTCTTGCAGGTATGTAGCATGCTGTTTTTATACAACAGTTTTTAGATTACGAAGTTGGCATGAATGATGATATTCGTTGCAGCAAAATGAAGCATGTTATATCCAAATAACAGGTCATGATGACCATCCTCGACTATCCTTACCCACGGCTCAACATTCTCTCCAAATGATCAAAGTTCTCGAGCAAAGGCAGAATCAAGCTACTAAGAAAAAGATCCTGACTGAAGGCAGCAATAGCCAACTTCATATGATGCTTTGACACTTCTGCGAGAAATAAGTTTGAAGTTGGATATGGTCGGGTAGTTAAAAGGTAAGCTGCATCACACAAATGTTTCAGATATGTGCCAAGAATTTCAATCTGCTTCCCGTCATCCAAAGTTAGAGTCATTATGAAATTAGGACGTCAAGTATCCAAGCAAGCAAAGACTTCCTTTAATTCGCCGGCAGTTGCAGGCACATGGTATGTTGTATCATATTTATAATATTCATCCTTCAATAGACTCCCCAAACTAAATACATGTAGATATTGCTTAATCTTCACAAACTTCTCTTCGTGAGATTCAAAATATTTCACAAATTTCAGAGACTCACGAACTTCGCTAATAATTTCTCTTATTGCCTGTAGTACATCTAATGCAAGGCGACTGAGAACACGAGAATGAAAGTTCTTGTTTAATAATTGGCCACCGTGAATTACAGGGTTATTAATAAAGAGATGGCTCCGCACATTTACCTTGAAGGCCTCACTTGAGAAAGACTTAACGAGTGCAAGTGTAAGTACCCGACCCTCCAAATTCCAATCAGATAAACAGGTCATTATGGATTGGCTTATGAGTCTTTCCTGTTTTCTTGTCTGCTGACCACAAATCCAACGTTGAGTCGTCCAGGAATCCCATTGATAAGATCTAACAAAACTGCTTGATTGGGACTTTGCACAACCGACTTTTTTGGTCCTATAACTTCCCCCTTTTGGCTATTCCTGGTCGCTGTGTTTTTATACTAGCTATGAGTTGATGGAACCTGTATGCGCAACACTAATTAACTGATTTGTGCTAAGTTAGGCTGGCCTTCGTTGGATAACATCCTTTGAAATTGATGTACTGTGTGCTTTTTTTTATGCATGGGTTTATGGATAGCTTTGCAAGTATGGTAGAGATTGAGCACAAGGCAAAGTCTATACTCAAGAATTGACTCGGGAGGATTATGTTTTAGGCTTAGAACTTAGAACTAGCCATGCTTTTGCTTTTGTAATATTCTTTTTTTTGTTCAAGGCTTCCATGGACAATTGTGAATGAAACTGTTTTGAAACTTTGAATGTGTAACGAATGATAACACGAAAAGCCCTCATATTTTGAATTGGTTCTAAAGAATATTGAAATTTATATGCTAAGCAAACTTGAACCGTGACACACATACTTTTGGGAATTTCCACTTAAAATCCTATCTTAAAAATGCTTGAAAACCTTGAATGATATTGCATTTTTGTCAACTTGAAATCAATGGTCTTGAACTTGGAATTTTGAATCTTGAACCAATTGGAACCTGAGTCTTCCACTTGAAATCGAAATTGGTCTCATGCCTTGAATAATGTTTAAAATGTTGTATTATTTCGCCTTGGTAGCTTGAATTTCAAGAAATCAACCACAGATGGATCTTCCCATTTACACGCTTGATTAATGCACCTCAAACTTAATTGAAATCATAAGTCCAAGCTAACTTGTGAAGAAATCCACAAGAACTTTCTTCTAATACTAGCATGAACCACTTCTTATTACAAGAACTTTGCATTTACTTATACCTTTGCCTTACAGGAAATACTTAGGACACTTGCACCTTAAGAAACTTGAATGGATACTTCCGTAATCAAATCCTAAATTCTCCATGAAACTTTAACTTACATTACAAGTAATAACAACTCGAGAGCATAATGATCCCTCGAGGAATCCTTTGAAGATGAATGTGGAACTTGAGACACGGGAGGAACAACTACCAAGATAGCCTTAACATGTAAATCCAATGAACTCCAGTTGATGAGTTAACATGCTTAATTGCCACACATAAGAACTACAATTTTCTTGAGATGCACTGTGATGAAAATGGCCTTGTCTCTTACCTTGAGGAAGATATCCTTGTAGCTTGATAAGGAAGAGATCCATAATAACCATGAGAAAAAAATCCTAAATTCACAATTCAATGTACAAAGAAGAGCCAGCAGAATCAGTCTTGTTTGATAAACACCTCAAACCAAAAGAAAAACCTAGCTTCACAACCATTGATCCTTTGAACCATGATTCAACAAAACCTGAATTGGTTAACTGAAGAGTGGATGAATTCCATGTCATAGTCATTAAGCCTGATCAACTGATAAGCACACTTATATCAGGAGACGTCTTGATTCAAAGACTATGTATGCTAGGTCCCGCCCTTGAATTTTATGACCAAAAAAAACCTGCAACCAATTGTTCATCAGAAGATAATAACTATGTAGCTTAATGGAGAAGAAGCCCAAACTGGTCATGAACCAAAACCCTAATTCCACAGTCTTCCACACCATGAAGAAACATAATGATCTGTCTCCTTCAACACATACCTCAAATCAGCTGCAAATCCTAGCTTCATAACTACTTATTTTTTTGAACCTCGGGTGCTCTATTTTTTATGAAAATGCATGCTGTGCACATGACCTATTGGAATGATGTAGATGAATGCAAAGTCTAAGCCAAAATAAGAGAAATTAGGAGGGAAAATTTTGGGGTGCAAAGCACAAGACCCAACTTTTTCGCACAATCAGCAATAATAAAACAATGTGTAGCACTAGTATCAATAACAATAATTAAGGGAATACTATTAATGAAACATATACCTCTGATCAAACAGTCTCTACTAGATGTATGAGTCCCAGCTAAAGCAAACACCTTCCCACTGGTCTTAGCTTGCTTTATTTTCTGACATTGAGTGTTGATATATCCTTCTTAGCCATAGTTGAAACATATTACCGCTTTGTGTTGGCAATCATATATTTCATGTCCAGCCTTACCACAATGAAAACACCTCTTCACTTACCCAGTACATACATTACTTAGATGACCAAGTGTTTCACATTTGGAACATACGACACCAGTAGGGGAACCTCCCCCACTAGTCTTCTTACCATCAACAATCCTTTGTTTACCTTTGTTAGTCAGAGCATTGTAAGCCTTCCAACGGTTTTATTATTGGTTGCCCCTCCTATTATTCACGACCTTGTAGTGAGTCTTACTATCCTCTTCATAGATTCTGCAACTATTCACCAAATCTGGAAACTTACGGATTCACTGATACCCAATTTCCTTCTTGATCTCTTAACGCAAGCCATTTTCAAAATTTATGCACTTTAAAAATTCAGAAGTTGCCTCACTGTAATGAGGGTAGAACTTTTCCAGCTCCATGAACTTAGCAGCATATTCAATTATCGACAAGTCTCTATGTTTCAACTCCAAAAATTCAATTTCTTTCTTACCACTGATGTCTTCCGGAAATTACTTTCCCAAGAATTCCCTGATAAATACAGCCAACGTAATCTCTTCACCTTCACCGTCCAGTCTCTGACGAGTTCTAACCCACAATCATCAACTTCTCCCACCAACATGTGAGTTACAAACCTCACCTTTTATGCATTCATACAGTTTATAACCTGAAAGATCCTCCTGATCTCCTTGATCCAACTATACGCTTCATCGGGGTCATGCTTACCCTTGAACATAGGTGGATGGTTCCTCTAGAATGTTTCCAAGACGCGGGATCCATCATTCCCACCAAAATTAGGTTGATGTTGCACACCTTGAGCCAAAGCCTGCAAAGCAGCAACAAGTGTAATACCCTTCCTTCCACCTATTACTCTGTTGCAATAATAACATCAAACAATGGTTAGATGAAACACGTCGACAATATTCAATTGCCACACTACTCTAGTGTCTTAAAAATCCGGGTCAGACGGACTGACCTCCTCTGATACCACTAATGTAACACCCTATTTCCCCGTCGGTAATTTAACCCAAAGTACAAGTAAATTAATTCATAAAATAATACATCATGAATAAGATGTCACATCTTCATACATACACACATGCTCATACAATATGATACACAACACATTATTACATGTTCACAGAGTCTGAACTTCATTTCATTTATTCGCAGCGGAAAACATTAACAACAATTATTCTTAACTCCTTAACATGAGTTATAATTATCATAATTAAAACTTCAACATGACTCATCAAATAAATCCAACAAAGTGGAGTTCTACAATAGTTTACTTCCATCATAATAAAAAAAACGCAAAACCCCTAAGTGTTACGTATCAGAGCTGACACTGACTTAATCTACATAAAATAAGGCACTTCTCAGTGAACCTCTACCTCGAGCTACTTCGGATCATCTGCATGTTATCCACGTAGAGGTAACATTCAAATAGAAGGGATGAGATATCACAAAAATATAATAAGTTATATAATCATAGTTATACGACAATTATATCATGCAAGATTCCTAGATAAACAATCATCAATTATAATTCATAATGATTATACAAGTACATACCTATTTTATCATCACCCGTCATACATCACATATCAATTATGCAACTCAGCTTCATTGTTATATCAACAAATCAACAAAATGCAATGCGACTTACACTGATGCAAAAAGCATGTGGTACCATCAGGGCATAAGCCCTCTCCAAAGTTTTCCATATAAGGCCAGAGCATAAGCCCTCAACATTTTTCCAATACAGGCAAAGGAATAAGCCTTCAACATTTTTCCAATATAGGCCAAGGCATAATCCTTCAACATTTTTGCCAATCCAGGCCAACAGCTGGGCATAAGCCCTTAATGATGCATGTATACGATATGCAAAATTACAACTATATAAATACATGATATGATTCCCCAACATTATGACATTCCAGGCCAACACCAACATCGTCATACTGCAATACAACCTACAAATCCTTCATACATAATTTATACGACAATGATGCATTCCATCATAATATTTTGCATTACAATGCGTACAACATACACACACATCATAGTTATTCTGATAGAATATTAGGCTACTGCCACCAAAATAAGTTTAACATCATAGAAAAATGCTTAGCTTTCCAACGGTCCAAACGACGTGTCAAACAGACACCCGAGGCAGAAGTTATTAATTCTCAAAATTTGTAAAAATCTGTCAGCTTCAGTGGTAATCGGTTACTGTTAAGAGGGTACCCGGTTACACCCCTAAAACTAAAAAATACATGTTACTTTCCAGTTGGGTAACCGATTACCACCCATGCAGTAACTGATTACACCTTCACGTTTTTGCCCAATTTCCCCAAAATTACACAGGGTAACTGTGATACGGTGGGAAGAGAACTGACTGTTTTTGGAATGCTGGTTCGGGTTTTGCGTTTGTTTTCGCAAAATGTCGCGGTAAGCAAGAGTCGCCACCATCTTTTATTTTATCCAACAAGGAAAGGAAAAAAGCACAGAAAAATTCCTTTTTCGAGATGTTTCCCGGGTTCGGGAGGTAGATTATAGAAAGGGAAGGTGTTAGAACCCTTTCTATCTGTGGTTATCCACGAGCTCTTAGGTACTTGCTCAAAGTGTTTTCAAAATTTGCTTTTCTTTGTGTTTGCGGGTTTGATAAGAGTTTTGTTTGAAAAGTGTAAGTGCAAAAAGTTTTGTTTTGTTTTTAGAATGAGAAAGTACTTAAGAACCATCTACCTACTCAAAAAAGGAATTAATCTGTGCAAATGTCCTTTATACAATGCTAGCCCACTATTGATGAGTAGGTAGCATCATCGTTGGAGTTTTAGGGTCAATTCGATTAAGGGACGGGTGGTCACTAAAGCAATGTTAGGACGCCTTAGCGGTAACCCTAATGTCTTAGATCATTTTATCTGAGGCAACCGTTTCGAGGCAACTTATGATCTTTGGACAAGAGGGCGACCTCTAAAACTTCCTATACTCAATGACCACATTCGAAGGCAACCAAGTGAGGTGTACCCTAAGAGTGCGTATGTGCGTGTGTGTTATTTCGGTTAATTTTATCTTTGTGCATGTTATGGGTGAGCTATGTTGATTTTAAGTTCATACATTTGATCTTGCCATGCATTCCCTATTATCAAACATCTAACAGTGTATAGTTGCGGAATTTAAATTGCGGAAATTAAATCTAAACTATTACAAGGCGTCGGGTATTTACATCGCCAAAAGCAACCCTTTAATTTAAATTGCGGAAAGTAAAATAAAGCGATAAATAATTAAAGTCCTAATTAAAAGCTATTACATACCGGAAGCAATTACAATATTGGAATCAAATGTATCGCGTGCAAGAAATTAAATCGGTGCATTTTTTAGGGTTTTGACCCTTTTTTGAAAGAA